GTAATTTTTCATTTATTTTCTTTATACATCATCGCTATTGTTTCACCACAGGTTAGCTCTGTTGTTACAAACGCAGTTTTTTCTGGAAAAGAAAATCCCAATTTTCACGACACCCTGTATTTATATAATCACACAATTTGTGGTTCTCCAGATTCGCCGTAATGATAGGTATGTTGGAATCATCCGTCTTTTTAGCACATTCCAGACAAATTTGTAAGAAAGCTACCTGAGCCGACAACCTTGCCGATACCTGTAAAAGCATAAAACCACGGATTTTTAGAGGGTCGGCCTAATCTTTGTGTTAGTCACGAAACAGGTAATCTAAGGTATTCCAAACATCTGGTCGAATTCTCCGTCAAGGATTATCTCAAAAGGTTTTGTTGGTATTTGTATCTTGGACAAAAAAAGTGGATCGCCTACAGGATGTTCATGTTGAGTAAGCATTGGTATTTCAAGGTGATTTCTGATTTGTAGTAAGGTCCAAACACATCCTGTTCAACACAAGGACACATTTTTGTTTCTTTAGTGGTTATCAAATTTTTCTATTGCTGCTATCTGAACTAATTCTTTGATTGAAACATGTAGTCGTCAGATAAAAGCTTGTACTTGATGACTTTATGAAGCGCTACCATGTTTTATAAATTTATTGGCGGACCTAAGTTCAAAACCGTTTTTCGTGAAATAAACGGTAGAATACGCTTGATAGAAGACTTTAATTGACAAGTAACTCGGACGTGCAATTTTTACCAGATAATTCAATTTTGCCTCCTTTGAGCTGCCAATTAAAATGCAAATTGCTTGTAAAAATGGAGTAGCACGAGACATAAGCGCCGTTTATTAAAATTTGGCTCAACGTGTTGCTTCAAAAACTTGCTGTCAATGCTAAATTCGCATGCCAACCGTACTTAGAAATTGCTATTGAGTATATCAGAATACTCCTACAGGTAAAACAGTACAAGCTTTTCGAATGAAAGACAAGCATTGCGGTATTCTGAAGATTTTTATATAGCATAATTCAGGCTAGCCTTACTCAAGATTTATGTGGTATGAAAACAAACTTATAGAAGTTAGAACCGATTCCGAACTGGTTCTAACAGAAGAAGTTCTGAGATAGAACTGAACATTCAAATCTGTCAGTGGACAAATGACATAAATCAGGTATTGATAAGATAGCAGCGATAGTTTATCATATCTTCAAGCCAGTTAGTGTTGAATTTTACCGATTAGTACAGATCACTCAAGGATGAGCGATGATGAAAATTACTTTAAAATAGATCTGGAGATGATTATAGGCGTTCTGACAACAACGAACGAAAATTACATGTAAAATTGTTGATATTTTTTTTAACTTCATGAAATATGCGAATCAACACTTATACAGAATGATCCAACTTCTTAAATTCCTTGAAACGATATGATGAATCTGGTATTTTCCGCAATTTTCCAAGTATTTATGAGCGAAACGCGCATCCCTGATAATATAGTCGTTTAGATTTGGACAAAAATATTGTGAAAAATGAGAAAAGCTCACAGAAAGGAAATATCGTTTTTTGTTTTTATATGCGTAATCCGTCATTTGCTGTACAATAACTGAACATTGTATAAAACTAAAATTTTTAACAGCTTTCTAAACTGATAGAGATTAGAAAATATTACTTTGGGTATGTTCTTTTTATATCGGAGCAACCGCGTAGGCAAAAGCCTAAATAACAGGGCATCGTGGCTGCGATGAGGCGCTTGTAGAAACTTTGTAATACTATTTTTGAGCTGGGTAACGTAAGTAGACCTGGGAAAAGCCTCCTCAGGTATATTGTTCCACAATCTTGATACCTATAGCAAAGGAGCGCTGGTATCGGCCAGTCCTGGATGAAAGAAGTTCGACACGGTTAGGTTGGGAAGCCGAAGTCAAGCAGGTTTGTCTGACACATCGCGCAGCGGTATCATGGTGGTGAGCTCTGAGGAGCAAAGCCCGTTGACATAGCGATAGAAGAGAGGTTCGTCGATGCTAAAGGATCCCCAGAGTGTCCGTTAGAGAAGAGTCATCGATCAATCATGTGAGCAGTACTTGAGGCTAGATCTTATGTGGATCTTGTAAAGAGTGAGCAGGTTATGTGGAGGAAAGTACATCTCAGCCCTAAACAAATAGCCTAGCTTTTTCTGCTGCCGCTATTGACGAGATGTGCTCGTGTCAGATCAAGTACTCTGTGGCCATCCATCAAAACATCTCAACGCTAGGGCGCTTCTTGTTAGTCAAGGCACAGTACTGACATTAAGCTACACACATGTAAAAAAACAACTACATAGGTATAAACATTCTTCCAAAGATATTGAATTGTCTCATTTGATTGTTGAATTTCGCTCAGACATCTTGATACAGTCTCCTATGAGAGTAATTTGACGACTTGTATATCTACTTGACTCCATCTGTTAAATGATTTTTTCTAACCACTCTTGACCGAAACCCACATGTCTGACAATATACATATGACACAGGTAAATACAAAATTTCTCAAATATCGATTCTTACCGATGCTAAAAACAACGCACTACCACCCAACTAGCCGCACTTATCAAGCACTCACTACAGCATGCCTTCCTCGATCGCGTGTTCACTTGTATTTAGCCGCACACGTAACGCACGTAAGGGCCGGCTGAAGGGTTGTCAAGCGTTGACGCGATGCGCTGCGAACGAAGGGTGTGCGGCGACTGAACTGACGCGACAGCGACCGTAGGGCTTCCCTTATGGGGTTAGGGGCGCATGCGGATGGTTGACAAGGCGCTCTGATGGTGGTGGTGTCGGTCAGTTGCGGAATTTTCAGAATGGGCTTTGACGCATGCCGGCGTCTTTTATCTAGCGGAACTTTTGACAATTTAAAGGCAATTATTCAAGTTAAAAAGTAACTTTTGGCCACTCTAAGGAGAGAACCTTGAGATAGTCTCGAAGTGTGTCGAAGAGCTAGCGCAAGTCGCCAAAATCTCTTGGTCGCTGTTATCCTGACCTACCTAGTCTTTTATGTTCTCTTGTTTTAATAATGTTTTATCACCCTTACCGAACAGACAGACCAACGGAAATGAGTGACATGGTTTTTCGTAATGTACATGTCATTGAACATCCAAAAACATATCTCAATTTCGATTTTTGTTGCAATTACAATCCGTCCACCAGTACTGTGGGAAGTGAAATGAAAAGAAGCTAAAGGTATGTTTGGAAAGCGCGTGACAGCTGTTTTTGTAATGTTAGGCACCATTTACTTTAGCCAAAAACTATACTTGAAAATTATTATACAGAAAAAACAAAAACGCTGCATACCCCTGATTTGATAAATAGGAGTCAAAGTCCGGTAGCAAAAAATGTCAATCATCAAAATACTTTTTTTTGCCCCATTTCCAAAAAACCTTCCATATGCAATGTGTTTGGGCACGACATACCGATATTTGAGGGGGATATTTTTCAGCTATTTTTATCGACAAATCCACCTCCTACAATGTCATACCTCAGCCACTTGAAATGAATCCATACCGCTCCGAACGAAATTAGGGCTGACACGGATATCGTCTACCGCTCAACACGACGCATTGTTTTAAGAACAACAATGTGCATGACCAATAATGTAGGAGATTTCGAACAACTTCTGTAACATTAAACATGTCCAAACTGTCTATAAGAAACATTGATTTGTCATTTCTATGCATATAAAGTTTGAAAACAATTTGCATTTTATTACACCCATTTTGACCCATGTTAGATAGCATTGATTGCTTAACGTAGAATACTTAGGATAACAAAAATCTGTAGAATTAGCACAAAACAGGTACAACTTCACAGACTAGTTTTTGAATGGTGTGCGGATATGCACAAAATAATCAATTTCCTTCCACATTTTGTTCTGTTTTTATCTGTTTTTAAGTATGTTTGACGGTTTGTATCAAAACGAGTTTTTCAGTAATCGCTTAGTCAGCATGTCATCGTTCAAATGACACCACATTTATCATTCTGTGACAATTACGTACTCAGTTATTACAATTTTCATACATACACTAACTCAAACTTCTAAAGGGCTATAACTTTGTTACTTTAATTTTACCACAAAATGTTAAAGGAAAAAACATTTCTTTTGATCAGATCTACTCACTGTTAAAATAAATGACTCAACTTCGAAGTCCCCTGTATATTGTTGTACCACTCTACAAGTTGAAGATTCAAAACTGCAGAAACAGGTAGATGCCGATTTTTAGAGGCACAATGGCAGTCAATATTTTTTAGAGGCCGCCACTCCAAAATGTTCAACCAAATAAAACCAAATTGATATCTTCATTCATCAAACCGCTGCTATTTACGACTTCTAAAACATCGTACTTATAAAAGTTGGATATACCACCTTCATGGTTTTTTTGATATATTCTCCCCCTCATCCCCCACCTCCGAGACATACTGACCCTACCCGAGGTAAATAATCATATACGCCATAATTATATGAGCGGGTAATTTAAGGATAATCAGAATTCTTAAAGCTCTTTTGTTTCAAGTTTTACCCTCTCGTGGATCACATTTGCATGCATTATCGAATTCATTATTTTGATATTTTCATTTCACAGGCTTTACACGTGGGTGCCGGTATGGGGAGGCGATGGGGGCACTGCCTCCAGTTGGCGTCTGTAATATGCATTTGCTTTGTGTATCATATTCCAGATTAGGCCTGATATATTTTCAAATCTCCTCTTGTCGATTTTCATTTGGTCCCTCTGGAAAAAAATCTTACGGGCGCCGTGCTAAACGTGTACCTCAATAAACTTTTCATAGTCGCAAGGTGCGCCACAAAGTTCCAGGAGGTTGGAGATAATAATCATCAATAATTCAGTTGACTCCTCTTTTCCACTGAAATAAGACTGAATAAGAGAGTAAGATTTGAATATTTCATGCTGCTGTGACTCAAACTGTGACAAACGACATAGTAGGATGAAAAATTCCGACGGGAAAAAATATTAATTATTCTACTTACCCCTGAATGTTGTTATTCAGAGAAAGTTTGACATGGGTTCTTACCTGTAACAAAAAAAATATAGTTAATATTGATACAGATTTATATTAATTTCATATATTTTTTGTTGAACTATAACACCTTACCGAATTTTTATCTTAAAGAGTGCATTTTCAATCCACATCAGCTCCTGTTTAGCAATGAATACTTCTTAAAGATACCGCTTGTTTTGGTGTGACAATTTGTCAGGTACTTCAATGATTTAACATCAGAGTTATCCATTGCTGGCTCCTTCCCAAACAAGGGCGGATTCAGGATTTCGTCTAGGGGTGGCGCAAACGATATTTGGGGCAGGTCATTTTTCAACCCCAGTGGAACTTTTACAATTTATCCTATTATTGCTCCTTAAATCCATTGTGTTTTATCTGATCAAGACCTGCTTGAAAAAAAAACATGGAAATCGCTCAGAAATCCTCAGAAAGCCAATATTTTATCATATGAGAACAAAATAAGTCCGTGGCATTTATAACTTACTAGAGTAATAATATTAAAGATTAAAACTTCATTACTCTGTTAACCGATAAAAAGTAAATAAAACATTCTGAGGGACCCCTAAGAATATCGCAGTCCATTCCACACAAAACAATGACTTTGATTGCGAAAACGAACATGAGACCAAAAAATTCACATTATCATATGGACGCTAGACAAGACAAAGAAGGATGTCTGAGACCTTCTATAGATCGTCTCCAGACTGCCTATAGAGAAATCGCGTAACGGCTTCTACTAGTATGTAATAAGCTTAAGGACCAAGGCCCTGAACTGTTCATTAAACAAATCAAGTAAATGGTGCAAATACTGACACAATCAAGCACTTCTATTATATCAGAAGTATGAGGCATGTATTCCTCCATTCCGACGTGGATAATTTAGGTTATCGAAGAACAGACAGCCGAAGCATTCACGTCAGTGAGACAGACATTTCTCCAAGGAAAGGTACAGAAGAAGTCTCTGAGCCTCTCCCAGTCGGCATGTCCGTAATGCCAAATTTTGCGGCCTGTGCGAGTTTCTGCTGAAACAGCGGGTTCTGACCGAAACCAAACCTCCACAACACAATGGTCTGAGTTACCCAGGGGAGACAGGACAGCAGGGCTGTAAAGGACAGGATGCGTGGTCAGAAACAGGTTCTGGCATGTGACGAGACGCGGGGCAAACAAAGTAGGGTCCGTCACCAGCTGGGTCAGCCCTCGAATCAGAGCGAACGCTTTAACTGCACGACCTGCTGCATCGGTCTTGTTTGAGCCCAACCAAAGCAAATTATGGTGATTGAAATCACCGAGGAGAACTACCCTTGAAGCGCGGGGTGATTGATATTCAGGAAGTCGATCTTGACGGCGAGGTATTCAAGGTCATCCCAGTTGTGGTCCGAGGGCAGCCATAATGTCAGCAAATAAATTTGGAGGATGTTTTGGAGTTGAGGCGAAGCCACAGAATGCCCTTCCGGTCTGATTCCAGAGAAACATGTCTGCAGCAGGAAAAACTGCAGCGGACATAGGCCACAACTCCTCCGTTCTTTCCCAGACTGGAGTGCACCTCGTCATTTGGTAAGCTAAGATGGTTAATCGGTGGGGACTCGAGATTTTTGTCTCCGCCAAGAAAAGCATGGCGGGGCGATTGGATTGCAAGTTGTGATGAACAGCATCAATGTTGCTGTTAATCCCGCAGATGTTCGGACTTTTACTGCCACCCGGCAATCGGTACTTAGGTATTCCTTACCGCGTGTACACACTTGTACGGGAAGAAGTTGTATGCTGGATACAACAACTTCCGGAACAAGCATTTGCCACGGCCCCGTTTAGTAGGGGTTGGGGTTTTTGAAGTTCAATATAGATGTTACAGTTATTTTTCAGACTTTCGATGTCGAACTTAGATTTACGGCATAGTTGTTTTCTCAGTTTTCGAACCGGCGTTGATCGCATGTAGAAATGTTGGAAATCCTTGGAAAAACTATATCTGTTAGATCGTGATTATTTTGATAATGTATGTTTGTACTAAACAAGTACAGGAATACAGGTGTGCATATTCACGTATAGTGCAGCAGCTCTGTGATTTAAACGAATTCAATATAGCAACATAAATAGACACATACGCGAGAAGTGATGCGGGACGTGTGGTATTGATTTTGAGCATCGATCGACGCAGTTTCTAGACAGGCCACAGGCGCACCGCTAAACAAATCTCATAAATGTTTATTTCCAATTTAGTCATTCATCTAACATAGTGCTTCGCTGCAACATCAATCGCGAACAAAATCGGTCAAGCTTTACACACTTATCAAATTACTATTAAGCAACAAACAGAACATAAATCACTTTTTAAGTGCAATCTGTATAGCTAATAGCATTACCCAGACTCAGATTTGTCCACAAGTCATAATACTCGTATATACGTATAAATCGTCAGAGTTGTGCTGTAAACAAGTGATGTCAAGGAATACCAAAAGATACCGCGCCCCCCCTCTAAATCCGCCAGTGTTCCCAAAATAGGTATATGTGTATCTCTTTGGAGGCATCGTAGCCCCCCAAATGGTAGACGCCATTTTAAATTTGGATCTTGCTTTGTTTACAAAGCGACTTAACCGAAAGTGTTCTGAGCTGTGATACAAGAAAGCTTGCCAATTCCTTTAATTGAAAAATAACAATAGGTAGCTTCGAAAAAAGGTGCAATCTTAAAAGTAGCGATTTTCTATAAATTCTTAAAAATGGCGATAACTGAAAAAATATAGACAATCGGATACGGAGATATTGGTTTTTCTGATTGAAACTGACCCCAATTATTACCCCCTTCCGTTTGATCCATGATCTTTGGGACGCCCTAAATTATCTCGAACAATAGTATTTGCATTATAAACTAGAGGGTATATCACATCTATACCATCTGTTTGAATTACTAACTGTTCAATGAACAGATGTCAATCCATTTCTATAAAATATCAAAATATCCTTTGACACGTCATTCCAAATCACACTTTTATGAATTCATGAAGGCTTTTGCCGATTTCCTGTTCTAGATTAACAGATTAAATCTGAAAGCATCGGATCGGAACAAATTATGCAATAAACGGTATTGTTTGAATATGAATTCGAAATATTAATACTACAAAGAGCGTTATTTTGAGTCGGAATCACCGGTTCATACTCGTATACAGAATGGGACAAATATCCTTTAGTAGAATGTAGCTAGCTAACGAGATGTCATAGCTGCTTTCCAGTGACCCTGTCGAGTTGCTCTGCGTAACTCGGAGTAACTCAGAGTAGTGCTCAGCACCAGTACAGTTCCACTGCTCGTTGTATTATTATCATTCATTGTTTCTGGAGCAGTTCGGAATGGGTATTTACGTATATTGAAAAGTGACATTATATCGATTTTTTGACATTGGTTTTTTGTGACATTATTTAGGTTTTTCTACAAGATGTCAACTCAGCACTAGCCGATGGACACATTGTGAACTCGTTTTGTGGTTGTACGTGTTGCCTTAACATCATGAGGCTTCAGTTATCAATGTTTGGCTCTGATGTGATGTAAAATCTGCTTCAGAGATGGCATTACTGGAGGTAACGGCAATGCATAGGTACATAGTGAGGATTTGTAATGTGTTGATGATAATTTCATTGGATTCTTGTCTGAAATACACTTACTTGAGATTCAAAGCTAGAAATTAGTTGCGCATCCATTTTTTCTTATCATTCTGAAATTACATATGCAAATCTGCTGAATTTCAGAAATAAGGGAGGTAAGAAACAATTATATTCACTGTACACTGTCGAATTACAAGTCATATACATATACATCTCCTCAAAGTTTTTGAAAACACAACATAACCTACCTGCAGAAAGGACAACAGCCAATAGTTATACTTCATTGGCAGCATATTCAGTAATGATTCTCTCATACAGATATCACTGATTTTATACATATGCAGCAATACACGCAATCATCCAGACTTGATCTTGCTGTTCAACCAACTTTCTTCTCAGAGAAAACTATAGACGACTCGGCTTCACAAAACATATGCAACCAACAATGCGTGTAGTTGAGCCATTCCTCCATAGATTGACGCTCGCAGCAAACCTAGTGACCAAACGTGAAATGACTGTTTGCACCCTAAAAACTACCTAGTTTGTTTTCTAGGTTTTTTACATAACACCCGTGCCGAAGAGTATCACTCTCAAATCAAAAACCACTGGGAAGCAGCTATGATGACAAAATTTAATTTTCAAAACCATGTTGTCTCTGTAGAAAAATGTAGAGTTTCTTAAAAAAATATTCACTCTTTTACGATTTTATGGAATCACATTTCGACACGCTGTATCGCACAAACAAGATACGACAGACACAAATACGAAATGCGTAAAACAGTAGTATGGTGGAACGCATAACAAAAAATAGGAGCTTTAAGTAGGTATTCCAGGTGTCAGGAGAGTCTCACACTTATGACGCAAAAAAATATACAATAACCTTTTTCGTCTGACATAGCTAATAAGAAGTAACCTCATTTTAGCAATATAGCTTTTTCTAATCGAAAATAGATGAATGCAGTGACAACACACATTTTCTTTGCTGGCTGTAATCAACGGACTGCATGCCGTAATATAGGTGTTCAGCTGTGCCCCCACTTTACAAGCTCGTCACTAAAATGGGATACAGAGAATGACTTTTCGTTCGTTACCGTTTTTGGATGGGGTAAATTACAGACAGAAGTGTACACAGGTGCTGATAACTCTGTGGGAAATTTCGATAGGCTTGGTTGGTTTTAAAACAACAGGCTTGTTCCAGTGACACGGGCGATGAAACTACTCGTGTGTGAAAAATATAACGGTCCTGTTAGGGGATGAATGTCATATATTTTGGATTGAAGTATTTCTTCATTGAAATGGACACGTTTGCTTTCTGTCTGTGTTACCACGACCATCCGCAGATAGCGCTGTTTCGTGCTCATTAGCAACTCATCAGTGCAGTAGATGCCTAGTAGTCCCGGAGACAGATGAACGGTAAGCAAACAAGTGAGTATGATTGAAAAACACAACACATTGTGCGGAAGTAGGTGAAAAATCTCACGAAAACCATTGGTAGGTGGAGTGTTTCTTCATGTTGGATAAGGTTCTCTAACATATCAATATATTTGGTGATTCACAAAACAGTGGCAACATTTGAAAGATAGAAGGTGCAGAAGCGTAGTAATTAGTTATTAATCATAAATATGTAAGAAAAATTTCACAAAGTGTTATCCAAACCTCACTTAAGTTCTTAGGCAGTACAAACCATACACTCTTAAGCCTCATATCCATAGCTAGTCGATGATAATAGCATGCTTTGTATTTTTGGCGTTCCTGGTTACGATTGCAATAGTTTAATAAAGCGTTTCGAAATTAAATGTAGAGTATGGATGACTATCAGACCTGTTCATTCTGTCCATAAAGGAATTTAATTAAAAAGTACAAATTGAAAATACTTGGGACGCAAATGCCACTTAGTATCATTATTTTATAAGTAAGTCATAAATAAGTCTTGCCAAAACAGATCAAACCAACATAAACAATTATTGACTATATCTTAAAGTGATCAGAAACGGGGTTGATGGGAAAGTTTTTGCGGTTTTTAACCTTCAAATTCAAAGGAGCATATTTCAACATTAACAAAATTTGATTAATCAAAATAAAAACCATTAGAATCATTTTTGCCAACGAGAAACAGTTTACTTATGCCGCTAACGTAGAAATCCGGAGTTCAGGAGGCGATGAACTCATTTTTGGCATCGTCATGGTTATTGAAGCATTTCTCGCAAAGGAAGTTGTCGAGGTGTTTAAAAAAGTGGTAGTCGGTGGGGGAGGTCCGACGAACATGGTGGATGAGGCAGAATTTCATAGCCCAGTTCGTTCAGCTTTTGCAGGGCGGTTGTGCGACGTGGGGCCGGGCTCTGTTGTGGAGGAGGATTGGCCCCTTCATATTGACCAATCTAGGGCACATACGTCAGAGCTTCTGATGCATTTCGTCGATTTGCTGGCAGTACTTCTCCGCCGTAATTGTTTTGCCCGTATTTAGAAAGCTGTGGTGGATGAGACTACCAAATAGTCACCATAAACAAATTTGGATGCAATTTCGAAAATGTTGTGGAGTCTCGTCGCTCTACAACCATTGAGGAGAACATCACTTATTGTCGTAGAGAATCCACTTTCCATCACATGTCACAATCTGGTCGAGAAACGGGTCGTTTTTTTGCGTAGAAAAAGGGCAGACGCTACCTCAAAACGACGATCTTTCTGATCTTCATCTAATTCTTGCGGTATCCATTTATCGAGCTTTTTTTACTGATCCGTTTCAAGTGGTAGGAAATGGTCGCAATATCCACATCAAGCTCCTTCGCAATTTCACAAACAGATGTGCGCAGGTATGCTTCCACCACGGCTTCGCCGTGGACATCATGTGGCCGACCATTGTGCTCTTTATCTTCAAGGCTCTCGTCACCGATGCGGAATTTCTTGAACCACCATTGTGTCATACGTTCGTTAGTGGTTCTTTGGCCTAATGCATCCTTGCTATCGCGAGCTGTCTCTGCAGCTTCTCAACATAATTTGAACTGGAATAAGAAAAGCGAGCGAATGTGCCTCTTGTCCATACTTTATTTGAAGACTTAAAAAACAAATTATCGTAAAACAAAAAGAATACAAGATATAGATAGAGCGAAAAACGAGCTTTAGAATGATATATAAAGTCCAAGTATTATAAATAAATTATCAAAATTAAATTTTTCCAACACGAGGTCTTACAAACATTTCTAAAGGGGAAATATTTCTGTGAACTCATTATCTAATAAAAATTGTTCGAAAATGTCGCGAAGTGATAAAAATGTGCACCTTCTAGTCAGTGTGATTGTTTACAGAAAATATCTGTTTTACTTTCAATGTCGTTTCCCTCATACAAGGCCCTATTTTTTAAACGCCAAAAGAAAAATACCATTTCCCCTATATTTTCTCATGAACATAAAATTAATGGAAGATCGCAACAACATAATATATCAGTTCGCTCAGCTACCCTGTGGTCTTATAGTAACATCACCTATAATCATTTAATCATTTTATAGTTTAATGATTCTACCTTTCATGTGACAAATTTGAATAATAACTGAAGCACAAAAGAGGTCAAACCAAAAGGTCAATGGAAATTTGTACTGCAGAAGAAATGTTAACTGTAACAATACGGTATAGGTAGACATTAACATACGTTACGTAAATCTAGTTTTTAAGGCTCGGTCATAAATGTCACAATATAGTATTTGAATAATTGGCTAACCAATCAGACGTTTCGATAGATATAGTCACGGAAAAATTGACTCAGAAATGAGTATAGTTCAGAACCTAGTTTGTGGGTAATTAACAGCTTTATAATATATGGAACCTTCAGGGGCTTTGCATGGCTGGCCTTCGAAGGGAAAAAAATAACAAAAACTGACATAGTGTATCTGCTTTTACCTGATTACATAAAAGTACAGCTGAATAGATCAAATATGCAGATATATCGATAAACATTAGTGATACATTAGTTATACGTTTGAAAACCTAAAAATACATTTTTTGTGAAAGTTTAAAACAGTCAATAACATGAATTATGTTTCGCGTCGAATTCTTGACTGTGTTTCACTATGTACTATGTACATATAGTAAAACAATTATACCTACAGTTTGGGCGCTCACAGAACTGCGATCGTACTTGTGACTTTGTTTTATCGTTCAATATAACAACAAACTCTCATTAGCATATGAGTAGTATTACTATAAAAGTGACGAACTGGCTTGAGACTGCATTTTAAGGAGGTGTCACCGAGGGGGTTGTCACGGAGGAGATTTTCTATCCCAGTGTGAGGGGAATCGGGGCAGTTCCAAGGAACCTGGGGTTAAGAGGCAATTCAAAGAGATTCTAGGCAATTTGAGAATATCTGCGGAATTGCGATGAAACCTAAGAACTAGACAATATAAGGACATCTTTGGTAATCCAAGAAGTATCGAGGTAATCTTCATACTTGCATATGCCCAGGCGACTCGTTTTTGACGCCATTATCTCCCATGGTCGATAACTTCACCTATCTTTTAGTTGACCGTAAATCCGAGAAAATTCAAAGTGGTCCAAGAATCCATCAAACTCGAGAGCAGTATACCAAGCCGGGCCTGAGCTTCATGGGTTGGATATTGAAAAGTATTTCTTAGTTTTAAATAAAAAATAATCTAACGTTGCGCCGAATAACTTCAATGTCCACAAATCCGGAAAAATGAGCAAGTCTTAGAAGCATTGAACTTGACCATACTCACATGTACCCGAGTACAGTCAAATGAGAATAAATGCACGTCACTGAACTCGCACTCAATAATTAGCTAGTTATGCGGTATTCTCCACGTATCATCAATTATACGCTAGATGTGTTACTGAAGCCAAATGCTACCTTCCTACATGCATATACACAATACAAAATGCAGTAAGACTCAAGGACATAGTTATTAGTTGCAATGATATACAATAAGGTACCGCATAAACACCTTTATGCTGCTATAAAATTGAATTATTGTGACTTTAATGGGAGGTAAGTAAGGCAAAAGGCAGATTATATAAGCAAATGGAGAGGAAATAATAGGCAGGATACAGAATCCTTTCTTTTTATTTGCGAAGCATCTACAAAAAAGTTGCATTTTAGAGGTGTTGCAAACACATACAATGTTTAATTGAAGGATCAGCCGGAACAACGTTGTATATAACATTTTTCTATAAAATGAGATTTACGTAAAACAACGTAGTATGTGCCTATTGGGACCCGTTGACAACAAAGACCCACCTGTTTACTCGCATCAATCACTGTGACGCGAATTTGTAAATCGCGCCATTTCAGTCCTCCGCGTAACAACGTTGTATGTACGTAAACAAATAACAATATCTATGGTTTATGAACCATTCCAGTGGGTTGATGTCATTGCTAAAACCAACGTTAAAAATCTTTTTAAAGTTGTCTGGATGCACCAAGCCTTCTTTGAGAATTTAACAGCTATGGAATATTGTATATGGAAATACCTCAAATGTAAAATTACACAAGGATTGTGACTGCAACTTACCGCTGATTCTCCAGCTACTTTGAGAATGAGAAAAGCTCATAATATTATACAGCCCTGGAATTCATTTCCCATAAGCAATCGTAAAAGAAAAGAAACAATGACTTTTACCACTGATATCATATCATCTGAAAAATTACCTATAATGTATCACAACCTTCTTCCAATCAAAGATGAAAAATTAAAAAACCTTGAGGATATGAGTGATTATATTCCGCTTAAGTATGTAACATTTTATGAGAAATTAACTGCAATCCAATAATACTTATTTAAGTTTCAGTTTTGGTTTCGAAACACGTTGATGAACTTAGAACGTATTTTTTTGTTATTAAAAATATGTTACTGTGTTCTTTGGTTCCCTTAATAAATAGAACTGCTGAAAATACTTGTTTTTTTATAGTCATTTAAAGCCTCCCTGTAACAACGTTGTAAGTAACGTGATCATACAACCTTGTTACATGCGTTTTCCATAAAAATGGTTCTCATTGCTGCAAAATAGGTGTCACATTTTTAAATTACAATAACCTTGTATAACTATTGTTCCTTTATTGTGCTGGCCAACTATAGACGCAGCCATTTGAAAAAAATGGTTCAAATTTGTTTTTCTTAATTTCGGCCACTGAGCTTTTTTGTTACATACAACGTTGTTCCGGCCGACCCTTCAATTAATGAGAAGTATCGATTAATTGTTAACGTAAGCGGATTCTGGGCGTCAGAAGGAGAATACATGTATTACGTATGTACATAAAGATCTCCTGATAAAGATTATATGTTATACCTTATTATATTTTCATATAAGAAGATGCGATATCCTAAAAATTGGTGCCTATAATTTGATATAATGTGGAGAATGATTAGAAAAAATAATAAACTCATTAAACTGCAGGCACCACCGCAGTTATCAACTTTTCGTATAGATGTCATAAGTTGCATTTAGTTGAGTTTATCTTGTATCCACTCTAACTAAGAAAAAACAATCACAATGCTTCTAAAGCTGGAAGTACACCAATAACATGAAAAGTTACAAAAACAAGACCTAATACCAATATGTAAGGTGAAACTTTACTACCAAGTAGAACGGAGTAAAGTCTTTTGTATGGAAGCAATGATCCGACAATTTTTAGTCAAATATACAGGGTATCCTGAAATTTGGAATTTTCTTTTCATAAAGCATAGTTCATGTAATATTAAGCAGGCGTCATAATAATTCATAATACGATAGCCTCAAGATAACTAAGATATTGAGTTCCTAGCCCAGCAAACAACGAAAAAGGTATGGCGGGCTTGAGTATCCAAACCAGGCGCCGAGCCGTGCATACGTTACAGATTAGATTTGAAAGATTGGCGCATTCCTTCAGGAATAATGCAGTTATCTATTTGATGCTGACTTACTATGATCATTTTCAAGATGCTATTGGTACATGGAGAGTGTTTTCAGATCGTTGTCCTGGATGTTTCCATCTGAAGCTGCGTAGGTTTGTTTTGTTTGCATAAGCCGTCGAGATGGACATATAGATGGCCCGAACTGTTGAACATTTGACAAATGTGTTCATAAATATGTGTTTTTAAGTCAAACGACGATAATTTCAAGCAGTATTTGCATACAAAACAGTCCGGGAACAGTCCGCTGTTGTTCCATTGCTCCATTGCTCCTCTCGAACTTTGTGTTCCGTGTCCAAGTTGAAGAAACTTCACTTTTTGGTCGTAGCTCTATTGAGAAGCACGCATTTTGCGGATCTTTACGCCAAATGAAGTCTAAGCATTCTTCCTTTTTATGTCTCATATAATACTACGGGGATGTGGGAGACGGGAGTCTTCGACGCTTTTACGGCGTTCTAGCCGACACTTTTAGGCCACACTCCAACAGAGGTAAGCAATTCGGCTTGCGTTAAAATGGAACACGGCGCCATATTGGATTTTTGTTTCAGGCCTTTTTCATCTTCTTCCAACTTTTCGTCTTCTTCATCTTACGTTTTCTCCACCAAACTACTGCTGATACCTTCAGATGAAGCCCTGACGACTTTTCCACGCCCTGCCCTGTAATGAGAGTTCCAAGCAGCCCCTGAGGAGGGGAGCTGATTCAGCTGTTGCCAATGTCCACAGACGCCATGTGCTGAAACCCCGTCGAACTGCATCTATACACTTAAGCAGCTAATTTCATTTAATATGAATTATTTATCCTAACTTCACAGCTGGTGTGATCCTGAGGTATGCATACCCCCGGAAACTTGGTAAGTCACTAATGTTCGTTTTCATTTGTTGTTAGGTGATTGATTAACCATTGCAAAGTGAAATTTTGAGCTTACTGTGATCATTTTGAATACTTGAAAATCCTGTCATAGCACCCTTCAGGTAGTTTTTTGCAAACCTTGTCATAGCACCCTTCAGGTAGTTTGTTGCAAACTTTGTAAAAGCACCCTTCAGGTGATTTATTAAAAATAGTTAAATAGATTTTGGGCA